CCATTTAGAGATTGGAGTGTATTCAAAACATCACTCTCTGATTTAATGACAGATTTTAAAGCCTCTAATTTTACCTCGTTGATTTAACATCCCTGGATTTTTTTTAGACAGGAAAATAACTTTTTCTTTCTTCCTGATGTAGTGTTCAGACTTGACATAACAGGAGGTTGTCTAACCTTTTCAGGATATAATATAGATCCTGTGTAGACTGTAACTGAGTTGGATTTATATAAGATACACCTGTGCACAAACCCAGGTCAAGATAATTATTAAAAACATATGCACCTCCAACATCTGTTCAATATTTTCACCTGACAAAAAACTGTTGTCTCATTGTCAGAACTTTTCAATAAGGATGTTAAGTTTCAAAAGCCTTCTTTAAATCAACAAAAATACTAACACAGTAAAGACAGCAGTTGATATTTTGCCCATTAATCCAGAGAGCCATTGATGTTGGATTATTTGTTCTGAACCCATATTGACTATTACTTAAAATGATCTGTTTGTTCATAAATTTAACTAATCTGATTACAAGTAATTTTGCTAAAATTTGTGAAAATTGTGGAAACAATAATATTGATCTGTAATTTAAGAATACACATTTCTCACTATTCTAAAAAGAGGAATTACCTTAGCTATTTTCATGTTGTCTAGAAATATTCCTGTTGAGAATGATAAATTACATATACTGTATATGTAAATGGCCCAATAACATAATTCATTATATCCTTTACAAACAACATATCCATATCCACCCAGTCTTTTGATCTTTTGTCTGCAAGATTTTCTACAATACTCAATATTTCTTCTTTATCAGTTTCGCCAAGTAAAATACTATTTATAAACCCATGACTGTATGACTCATTATCTACTTTTAATATATTAATTTAGTCAAACCTTGAGAAACATTATTTGCTCTAAAGTAAAGTCAACAGTTTATCAATTCAGCCTGCTGCCTTAGAAAAACTCTACTAACATAGCCACACGTATTTATTTATTTATTTATTTATTTATTCATTTATTCCGTCAGTCCGTTTTCTGCCGCTTATCCAGGGTCAGGTCTCGGGGGCAGCAGCCTCAGCAGAGAGACCCAGACTTCCCTCTCTCCAGCCACTTGGACCAGSTCCTCTGGGGGAATACCAAGGTGTTCCCAGCTGAGAAACATAGTCCCTCCAGCGTGTCTTGGGTCTTCCTCTGGGTCTCCTCCCAGTGGGACGTGTCCAGAACACCTCACCAGGGAGGAGTCCAGGAGGCATCCTAACCAGATGAACCACCTCAACTGGCTCGTCTGGACGTGGAGGAGCAGCGGCTCTACTCTGAGTCCCTCCTGGATGACTGAGCTTCTCAGCCTATCTCTAAGGG